TATATATACATAAGGTTTAATGTTTTTCAAATTATACAGTAAAGATACAATTATTATATTAAGGCTATATTATTATTATGACAAAAATCATAATTGTTGATTATTCCTTTGAAATTGTAATTGCGATTAACTACCATCATCACAATTCACATTGAATGATGTTTTGCATAGTTTTATGCTATTATTTGAAGCAACTGCATGTCATATTTGTATATGAAAATAAGTTGAAAACACTCTTCCTGAAAAACATTGATAGCAAGATAACATGTAGAAAAAAAAAACACATCTTAAGCACGCAGAATAATGTAAGTGGACCTTTTTTTGTAGTTGCATCTTTGAACGATTACATAATTGTGGCATCCGTAATTGTAATCATGATTAGAAATTAAATTAATTGTGCAGCCCTGAGCCCTATATTATCTTACAAAAAATTGTACTGAGCCTAAAACATTTGAACGGTAGTTTATGTTAGAATAAACTCCTAACAAAAAGCCATTTTCTCAAAAATTATTATTAATGACACTGAATTAAGCATTGAAATTTTGACGTATTTAATTATTTTATATTATTTTCTTGAAATCTTGAAATAAATAAATACATTTAGGTCAAAAAGACTCAAAATGATGGAGCAGATCACATATATGGAGTGTCTTTATATATCTGTTGAATTGATCAAATTCTTCTCTGTTTTGCAGGTGCTGGAAACAACACACATCCCAGAATTCCCCCTAGAGGTCCTGGTGGAGAAAACGGCCCCCTTCCCCCCTCCAACATCGCTGTTATCGCAGGTGCAGCTGGCGGTTCGGCTTTCCTACTGCTCGTAACAGCCGTGATCTGCGTGGTGTGCTATCGACGACGACACGCCAAGCACTCGGAATCGCACCACCCTCCACTCTCCCTCTCCTCCCTGACCTCGCCCAAACGGGGCTGCGGCGGGGGCATAGGAGGCGGCAACAACAACGGCTCGGAGCCTAGCGACATCATCATCCCGCTGCGGACTTCTGACTCCGCCTACTGCCCGCACTACGAGAAAGTGAGTGGGGATTACGGCCATCCGGTCTACATCGTACAGGAGATGCCCCCTCAGAGTCCCGCCAACATCTACTATAAAGTATGAGAACCGGAGGCGACCTTACGAAAACATCTGCTAAGACCACACCCACCTTGAACGACTACCTAAACCCCGCCCCAAGCCCCGCCCCCACAATCTGCATCCCTGTAGATCAGATCCTTTTACCTTCACACGCATTTCTCCGACACGCTGACCGCTCGAGGTCGAGTGTGTCTGTGTGTGTGTGTGTGTGTGTTACCATTCCTCGCAACTCAACCCAACTTCGGCCTTTTGTTAGAGAGAGGTTGTCCTGATGTGAGGGCCTCCCTCTCTTTGACGTCCCACATGGGGAAAAGTTCTTAAAGCTAGAGAAGACCTCCTGGAGTGATTCAGCCTACTGAAAAAAAACATGAACTCCTTTTTGGGGGGCCATTCTGGAGCACAAGCATCAAAACTTTTTCTGATGTACTTGCAAAAAGACTATAAACACACAAAAAAGAAAAGAAAACTCAACTTGTCCAAACCTACAAAGACAACATGTGAACTTTGACTTCGAATGCTACATTTACTCACAAATAGCAAATAGTCTAGTTTGTGTTAAACTCCTTCGAAAGGGGGAGGGGCCATCGATTCAGCCAATCGTCACACAGGGCTGCAGTCACCTGATCTAGAACCCATGTGTTTGATTGGTGGAGTTGTAGTGGCGTGGAGAATCTTGTATATTTTAATAACGTGTGTATTTTGTGAGTGTGTAGGATAAATATTCCGACACTGCTGTCGCACACCTTGCGACCGGCGTGCTTCAGTACAACTCGCGAGTGTTTTTGCGTGCGGATGAGTGCGTGTTTGAGTACAGTGTTAGTGTGAGCATGGGAGCGTGTGTTTGTTAGACTGTTTCAAAACCAAAACACAAAAATATGAGCGAACATCAAAAAAAATTTTTTTATCGCTTTCAACACAGATTATAATTATATATGAATACTCAGTAAAATAATTTTTAGATTTTTTTTTCATGTAAAGTTAGTTTGCTAGGCCTAATTTTTGTTTTCCTATTTTTTATGACATGCTGAGCTTGTTTCTTCCCCTTTTTGAGTTGTAAATTAATTTAATGCTTTGATTCCGTTGCAGAAACCGAGTTTGTTTGGTTCCCCCTCATTTTCCTTTTTCCCTGGAGTCTCCTCCGCTCTACACATATATTTTTATAGCTCCTTGTACTCTGATGTAGTTTTGAAGCTAGACCTCGTTTGTGAATGTGTTGAGGTAGAACAATCCGAGAAAGTTTTTTTTATTATTATTTTTAAAGACGCTTGGAAAAAAAAGGGAAAAAATCCAGAAAGGAGGGAAGAATTGAATGGGGGTGAAATAAAAAGAAAAGAATGCGAACGCCGCCTGTTGGGAAAGCAAACGCACGAGCGAGGAAACTTCTAGAAAGACTGTGAAACTATGGAAGAATCGCATATTAAACGAGAAAAATAGGGGGAGGGGGAGGTGGGGGGAGAGAAGGAAAGTTGAAAGATGACTGAAGGAGAACAGAGAGAGAGGGATGGAAAGGTTTTTAATAAACTCGTCGGAAGCGGTGGAAGAGGCAGATTTGGGCCTGATGGTCTTCTGAGATACAAAGAGACAGATGAGGGGAAGAACGAAACTCATTCTCTCAGATGGACAACAGGATAGATGGACACACAGAATTACTCTTTTACAGACACACAGTGCTCTTTTTTGTTCACATGAAGTGAAGTGGAAATATTTCTAGACTCGTTTCAAATTCTTGAGTATCAGACACATCTCAATTGGGTAGACATGTTCACACACACACACACACACACACACACACACACACACACACACACACACACACACACACACACACACACACACACACACACACACACACACACACACACACACACACACACACACACACACACACATACACACACACACATACATACATACTGAGAAAGACTCAATGGCCATGGCACACAGAAAAGCTCTTGTAGAGATTTTCATCACATACACACATGCACAGCTCCAAAACACAATCAAAAGCCATTCTGATTGGGCATATATGCTGGTTACCTTAACAAATGCCGTGATTAGCATTGTTTTTTCACATTCTCTTTCTCTCCTCTCTCTCTCACAAACATAAACACACACAATCATGCAGCTTTGTAACTAGCTGTGTGTATATCTCTGTTAGTGGCAATGAAAATCTCTCTTTTAGGACTGAAATGCACGCTACGCAAGTATGTGAATGCAAACGCTTCCAACTACACGTCGTTGCTTTCTGAAATGTGTCAGGACTCAGTTGCATTCTCAGAACATATTAGCATAAACTATGGTCAGTTTTCTCTGACATGGCAGATCAACAGTTTGGCAAAGAATTTTACAAAACTAGTTAGCTTCAGTTAGTCAGTGGCTGAATTTGGAATAGAATACTGTTCTTAAAATGTCTGTCATACAGTATGCTATTTGGAAATGTTAGCTAAAGTGATTCAAAGGCTGAATTCAAAATGGCATGCTTTGACTAGCTTTAGCTAATTAGCAGAGAAAAATGAGCTATATGGCAGTAATAGTAATTACAGAGCCCCATACATGACATGTGGGGGGAAAACAAGATATTGTTGCCACAAATTAAGAATTAATTCCTACGAGTTATTCATTTGTGGCCACGTTTCATTAATTAGCTCTGTTGTTTTAGTTAAATCCACCGTTTAACTAAAGTGAGGGAACAAAGTAGTACAACATGGCCACTAATAAACTAAAACGAGGGAACTAATTAATAAATTATGAGAACAAATTCCTAATTTGTGCCCATTTTATCTTTTTTTCTGCATGTCATGTGTGAGGTTCCATAGTAAGAACTGTATGCTAGTATGCTATTCTGGAAACAGTTAACTAGTAGCCTAGTAAATAGTAATGAAGCCCCACACATGTAATGTGGGGGGGAAAAAACTATTTATTAATTTGTTACCATTTTTTACTTGAACTGTACCCAATTTGTAAATTTTGTATTTCGAAAACGGCTGATATAACATTTGTTCTAGCGTTTGCAATGTGTTAACCAAGCATCCGCATACTTGCATAGAATATGTTTCTGGCCTTAGGAGTACAAATTGTGTTCTGTTTCACTGCCATTGTCACAGTGCGTTTTGTATGCATGTAAAAGAATGTTATCGCTAAGAAATACACCGCATACACGCACATAATAACAAGCCATTCATACCCAAATATGTTGGTGGTGTTATTTTGCAGATGTGATTTGTGACTGACGTTGGGACTCGAACAAGCTGTTACTGTTTTCAATCTGCCTAGAAAGCTTCAATATTTGTCTCTCAAAAGCATTTAGTTTTGTATCACTCTGGTGCATCAAGACTGTGAGAAAAAAGAAACAACATGACATTGTTTTCCTGTCACATTGATGTTTTCTTCTTACACGCCAATTTGGATTTTGTTACTTCAATATCAAGTTGCCTAAAATGTGGAGGTGTTCCGTTTGTTCGGCGCTGTTGTATTCGTGGGCTGTTTCATACATATTTAAGTGTTCGATTTCTGTTCGATTTCTGTTGCATTTACTAAAACAATCAGCGTAAGCCATGTCTCTGACCCTGTGCACATGGACTTGGATACGTGTGTGTGCGTATGTCCGAAACACACGTGGACATCTTTCGAAGACGGACAGATGCGTTGCGTTCGGATCACAGAGGACACACGAGGAGACACAAACTCTCTCTGCTCACCATCCTCCCTTTTTTAGGTCTCGGTTATCAAACATCTGGCCTCAGAAAGGTCCGTCTTCTGTCTTTCACATCGAGCGGTTCTTTGTGCACTTGCTTTGCATACATGCCTTTAAAAGGGTTAAACAACTAATACATTCCTTTGAAGAAATGTTGATTAAAAAACACATCAAAAAAACTTTACAATGCATTCTTGGCTTCTCTTTACTGTGTGTGTGTATTTGTTTTCGAATGCATTGAGTTTTGTGGATTTCCACTGAACGTGCAACTGATTTAATGTTCTTTATTTTTCTTTCCACTCTACCATCAATCTCTTCTTCCTGGTATTTCATCTTCTCTAAAGTAAACAGTGGCGTTTACAGTCACCATCCGTTGCCAGTAGAGAAACGAATGTGTTCTTTAAGTGCACAGAAATACCTTTTCTTGTATTAGTTATTTCAGACTGTATCTCTCTTTCTCTTTTATTGCTTTCCTTTAGATCCTTCTGTATGTCTTCCTTAATGCCATTCAGTTGCCAAAGCAACATTGCCTTCTGGCAACAATTTCATTTTTATGAAAACTCGCAAAATCTGGTACTGATTGCCCCCGTGAGGTTTCCACACAGTTACAGGTGATGCAGAGGCGACGGCTGTGTTATTGACCTGGGAACACTTATGTCGTGCTACAATCCTGTCATTGGTGTAATGTGATTTAGGTGTGAAGAGAAAGGTTCTGGAACACAAGGGAGAGAAGAACACTTAGAAATGGCCTTATAGGCTTCTGCGGTCATCTTTATTGCATAATCATTTTTCTAAAATGTGCGTGTATGCCTTTAATGACCCAGAGGAGTATTTTATCGCCCATGGTTTGCTCAGGGAATTTCTCAACTGTGTCACAGGTTGTTCTCCTACAGTTTCCTTGGTTAAAAATAAAATGTCAGCAAATGAAGACAATTGTTGACGTACAGTCAATAGAGTAATAAAATTAATGTGGATGGCGTAGATAATTAGCTTTTGCAAGAATTAAAGCAAAAGTCTCCTTTTAATCTCCATTTAAAATCATTGCTGTCTCTGAGTGGTTACCTTTTTTTCCCCAGTTGAACTCATAGGATATAAATTAATTATATGATTAACTTCAAAAATTGCTACAGATATATCCAATCTGCATTCAAAAAGAAATAAAAAACCTTACAAAGTACCCCAGAATTTTACATAATGCTAAACTTTAATTAAAAGGTAATGATTCACATTATTTGGAAAAAATATAGACTTTGTGATAAAATTGTGCAAGTGTTCAATTTTGATATTATAAACATGATATCTGTAGATTAAAAAAAAATAGACATTTTATCCATTTTATTAATTTAATGCATTGACATTTCATCATGAACCTGTCGCCTGCAGCTTGCCATCCACTTCGGGAAAAATTGGTTTGAAATCTCACAAATAGAAATGTTTAACCTATATATCATATGTAATACATTTATATTTTATATTCCATATATTTCATCAACTTTGCACATAGGCCAACTTTGTTGAATTTCCTTTAAAATTCCAATTCATTATTTGTGGGCATGGCCATTAGCCTAAATAAAAATGTAAACTCATTGAATTGAAAGGGAGGCAGAAGCAGCCCTTAAATGATAAATTTTCCCAATTCTGGTTGAATCTGGTTTCACAGATTTCACATTAAGAGCGAATGCGCTCTTAACATTCATTCGCATCCACTTGATGCGAACGCATTTTCTCTGCAACGTCACGACTTAACTTCTGTCAGGACCATTATCGTCAAAATGATAGATACTTAGCATAAAGTTTGGTTTGGCAATATGGTTCTGTTCTGGGCAAAAACCTCCCTGCCCATCCATGCAGCCGGTCATGAATGAGCAGGGAGAGCAGCAATAATAACCCCCCTAGGGTTAACAGAACAGAACAAGGCAGATATCATTAATGTACTTAATGATATTTAAGTGTAACACTTTATTCAAGATAAAGGAGTCTGATTAGCAAGGAATATCAGAAAGCCAAGTCCTGACTGTGGCGAAAGGAGGAGCTGGGGATGGAGGAGGGTAATTTGCACCGGAGCAAGCTGAAAAGCTGCTGAATAATACTGAATAGAGCTTATATAGGAAGGCCGCGATGGGGAAAGGAGGAGCTGGGGATGGAGGAGGGTAATTTGCTCCTGAGCAAGCTGAAAAGCAGCTGAATAATACTGAATAGAGCTTATATAG